CTGAGATTCAGCTTCTTCACTTGTGAGATGGGGATATTGATGCCAACCTAATAGCACTGTTATGTGGATCAACTGAGATAATACATGCAAAGCACTTGGCATGAAGCCTGGCTTGTGATAAGAACCAAATAAGAGTGGCTATTGTTGCTGTGATTGTTACCACCCGCAGGAATCTCTTCACTGACCGCGGGATGGGGTGGACATTTCTCAGCCTTGTATCCATGGCCCTCCATCATCAGACCCAACCTGCATTTCCAGCCTTCAGCCCCTACCCCGTAGCCAGGCTGAATTACAATGTCCCCAATTCAGTATGCTGCACTACCAGTTCTGCATTTATGCTCTGCCTGCTGGGGGGACCCTCCACCATCCTCCCCCTTGCTCCAAAAGAACAAAAGCACACTTTTAAAAAAAATATTTTTCAAATATTCTTCAATGCCCAGCTCAAAAGTTACTTCTCCTAGTTTTTGGAGGGGTTTTGTTTGTTTTTGGCCACACAGCACAGCATGTGGGATCTTAGTTCCCTGACCAGGGATGAACCCACGCCCCCTGCAGTGGAAGTGCAGAGTCTTCACCACTGGACCGCCAGAGAAGTCCCTCCCCTAGTTTTTTTTACCCTGACTCCAAAAGAATTTCTCCCTTCTGCTGAATCTAAATGCATCTTTTCTAGTTGTATCCCGCGCTTTCTACCTATGCACTTCCTTTAACTGCAGCTGGATCAGAAGCTCCTTGAAGGCATTCTGCACAGCATTTAACATAATGCCTCAGGCAGTCAGTATTTCTCAAACTTCACTGTGCATTTGAATCCTATGGGGGTGGGCAGGGGGGGGGGGTCTTGTTAAAAATGCATATTCTGGGGCTTCCCTGGTGGCGCAGTGGTTGAGAGTCCGCCTGCCGATGCAGGGGACACGGGTTCGTGCCCCGGTGCGGGAAGATCCCACATGCCGTGGAGCGGTTGGGCCCGTGAGCCATGGCCACCGAGCCTGCGCATCCGGAGCCTGTGCTCCACAATGGGAGAGGTCACAACAGTGAGAGCCCCGCATACCGCAAAAAAAAAATTTTTAAATAAATAAATAAAAATAAAAATGCATATTCTGATTCATTGGCTCTGGGGTGGGCTGAGATTCTGCTTTCTCACAAGCCCAAGTGGTGCTAATGCTTCTGGTCCAAGGACCACACTCTGAGTAGCAGAAGGGTGTGGTAAATGTATGGGAAATCCATATCATTCACTCAGTAAGAAGTGCCTACGCAAGACCAGTTCACGGGCTAGGCCCTGACACCTTAAAATGTAGAAGGTTTTTTGGTGTGTTTGTTTTATTAAGGTTTTGTTTTTTTACTTTATCCTTTTGAATATGTACACATGGTAAAAAGAATTTTTTTCATAAAATCCAAAAGGGCACAGAGTGCGAGGACATCAGTCCCCAGAGGTGATCACTGTTACTTCCTGAGTTTTATTCTAGAGATACTTTATGCATATGAGAGCATATATTTGTACCATCTTTTTTTCTAATATACTATTCACACAGCTCTGCCCCTTTTTTTTTATTCTACTATATCTTCGAGATTGTTCCACATTTCAACATATATCTCTACATCCTATTTAATGAGTGGCATAATGTCCACACAGAATGCATTGGTTGTTTTTATAAAGTGTAGAGTAAAGTATGGCTACTTCTTGGCTTCTTTCTCATCCTACACATTCCCCAGAGAGAACAGGTATCTTGTCTTCTGTTCTTTGAATCCTCTGAGTTATCTCACCCATGTTGGTACAATTTTGTCAGTTTCATTTGATCTAGAGTACATCCATTACCCACTTACACAAGCATGTCTGCAAGTTCTTTTCCTCCAGATTCCAGTCTTCCTAGACCCCACTTGTTTCTTTACTCTGCATCCCCTCAGCACTCACAAATTACTCAAAGACATTTTCTTGTTTTGGTCATATATTGGTGTGGAATGCTGCATACATAAGTATTATAAAACGTGTATTGGCGGGGTTCAGGACACCCTACCCCAAAATAGGGTGCCTTAGCATATTGGATATTTCAAGCTGAAGGAATTCGAGAAAATAGGTGCAGGAAGGACTCACTGACGTTCCCTAGAAGCAAGTCATAAGACCCTCATGTGAGAAGTGCCCTCCCTCTACCCAGGGGAAAGGATCATCCTTGTCTCGAAGATAGAGGGATCCCCCAAGAGGAATCTTAGTGAACACACCTTGCTAAGTTTCCCCAGTTTCCTACACTGAGCTCATATCCCTTTTGTCCTATCACGTTTTCCCATGACTTCCCACTCTCCATCAAACCTAGCACAAGGGCTTCCCTGGTGGCGCAGTGGTTGGGAGTCCGCCTGCCGATTCAGGGGGCGTGGGTTTGTGTCCCGGTCCGGGGGGGATCCCGCGTGCCGCGGAGCGGCTGGGCCCACGCGTCCGGAGCCTGTGCTCCGCAACGGGAGAGGCCACAGCGGTGAGAGGCCCGAGTACCGGAAAAAAAAAAAAAAAACTAGCACAAAAACATACAGGTTTGACTGCTTCTTCGGGTCTTCACTTACTTACGATTGCTCCCATGTCACGTAAAAATTATACTAGATAAATTTGTATGCTTTTCTCCTGTTAACCTGTCTTTCGTCACAGAGACCCAGCCAAGAACCTCGAAGGGTAGAAGGAAAAGATATTTTTTCCTCCCCTCTGATATGTTTAAGGAAAAAATTAAAACATTAATAATAGAAGCCTTCTGTCACTTCCATCCACCTCCCTGTGCCCCTTCCCTGTCACATGATGGTCTCTCCACCTACGAGGTAACCACTATCCTGAATTTTGCATTAATCATTCTCTTGCTTTCCTTTCTTGGTGGTTCTCAAGCCGTTAGCCTCACCTAGAGAGCTTGTTAAGACATGGATTGCTGGGTCCCGTGCCCAGTTTCTGATTTAGTAGATCTGGGGTAGGGCCCAAGAATTTGTGCTTCTCGGAAATTCTCCGGTGGTTCTGTTGCTGCTGATGCCAGGACTACACTTTGAGAACTGCTTTATCTCAAAGGTACTCTTGCCTTCTCTGTGATGACTTGTGTCCTCCCCTAAAACCTAGCCACTCAATAAATGTAGCTTAAGGACTTCCCCTCCTTCTTCCTCTACTCCATTTCCTATCACCCAGTTTATGAGCACTCAGTCTTTGCAAAATAGTTTAATTGATTGTGACATTTGACCACTTTCCATTTTTTTCTTTTCTGTTAATGAGCTCATTTATAAGTTACTTCTCATTAGTGTACGTGTGTCTCTTGTTGTAAGTTAACTAGAAGGACGGGTATAAACAACATTTACATGGCATTCATCTAAACTTTAAGCTCCTTGAAAGCTGGAACCAAGTGAAGGGATTCAGAACATGCCACCCCAAAATATTCTTCTTTAATTATTGATTACTGATCATTTTGAGCTGAAGACACTTGTGAAACAGCAGATACAGGAAGGGCTCTCCCCCTTTCTATCTAAGAGCAGGATGTAAATTTTTCCTTGAGAAAGGTGCCCTCCCTGTACCAGGAAGAGAAGGACATTCTTATCATCAGAGACTGGGAGTTGACTCCGGTCTGTATAAGCAAACTTACTAAAATAACCCTTATCTTCCATTAGTTTCCCTCACATACTTCCTAGTCACTGAGCCACGATTTACTGCCCCTAGTCCAAGGACCTTTGCTTTGTCACATCCCCACAATTTATCATTCTTTTTGTAAAAAGGTATGTACCTTACAGGCTTTTGGGCCTAACAACTTCTTTGGGTCTTCATTTTCCTTCTGTGAAGACACCTGTGTATATGTAAAAAAAAAGAAAAAAATTAAATTTGTATGCTTTTCTCCTGTTAATCTGTCTCATGTCAGTTTAATTATTAGGCCAGCTGCAGAATTTAAGAGGGTAGAAGGAAGTTTTTCCTCCCCCTACACAAGTTTAATTTCCCTGTGTAGTCTACCTCTTCAAGTAAGCTACAGGCCATAATTTGCAAATTCAGTTGCTTGTAAGAGCCAAAAGACAATTAAATAAATGAAACTTGACAAGTGGAACTTTGCTGATCTGGAGACCACGTCCTATGTAAAGAGGGCAGCTATACTTGGATTTAAGCCAATCGCGGGTCCCTTGTTTTCTCATTTTCCCAGTTTTCAAGAGAAACCAGAAATAATCCCAACTAATTCAACATTTTAAGTACACAGAGCAGGCACACAGATTCCATACAGAGTACGCCTGCAGGAACTGAAACTGAATCCATTCCACATTTCTAGACCTTTTCAGTAAATGGATGGATGGATGGATGGATGGATGGATGGATGGATGGATGGATGGATTGGTGAGTGAGTGAGTGAGTGAATAATGAGTGGTAGCTCTGGGGGAGGGGAGCGGTTAGTGGAGAAAACAAGCAATTGTTGAGTACCTGCTCTATGCCTGGCCCTGTGCAAAGGGCTTTATATACCTTATCTCATTTGACTTTCATAACAAAACTTCAAGGTAGTTATTATCATTCTTGTTTATTTCCACACTCATTTCACAGATAAAGAAAGGAGGCTTAGAAAGGCCCAGGGTCACACCACCAGTTTTCTTTATTTATAACCTACTTAATTGTAAAAACAGGATTTCAGATGAGGTCTTATGATTTAAGCTGGGTCCTGAGCCTTGGATTCCAGATAGCTCTGTTATGCCAAATTGCCACCATCAAAGGAGTCAGGTTCCCAGAAGGCAGGTCAGGAGGGTGCCAGGAGTTCGGGGTGGGGGGGCAGGATTGCTTCCTTGGGGATGTTACCAAACCACTCACAGCTTCATGCTTCTCAAGGATATCAACTAGTACTAAGGTGCTAAGACACAAGGGGTCTCTTGCCGGCTTGATATACCTGCCCTTCCCACTTTCTCCTGTCTCACTACTTACTACCCTCTCAGAAGTCAAGATTTCTGCCTATCAGCCTTGGAGCCCACTCCATCTTAATTCCTTTCTAGAGCCCAGTAGGATAAGGACAGAGACGCAGATACAGGAGCCGTTTGTTTGGAAAACATTTTATTGGAGTTACTGAGGCAGGAAAGAGTGATCATAGATAGGATGGTGATCAGATCCCACACTGGCCCCCTCTTTCAGTGGTATCGGCAGTGCTGAGTCTCGAAGGGGCTGGTCATTGGGCATCGGCAGCTGCACCCGTCAGTCCTCTCAGCTGTGGGGAGAGAGGGTACGGTCAGTTTGGAGACCCTTGGGGCCGGGGAGCCGGAGTCCTAAGAAAGCCCAGGATAGGGTGGGGCCCTGGTGGAAAGGAATCTCTGCCCCAGTCTAAGTTCCTGTTCTCCTCTGAGTTATAGTAGTTGCGATTTCCCTTAGCTTTGTTTTTCTTAATCTTTATTGGAGTATAGTTGATTTACAATGTTGTTAGTTTCAGGTGTACAGCAAAGTGAATCTGTTATACATATACATATACCCACTCTTTTTTAGGTTCTTTTCCCATATAGGCCATTACAGAGTATCGAGTAGAGTTCCCTGTGCTGTACAGTAGGTCTGTATTAGTTATCTATTTTATATATAGTAGTGTGTATGTATATGTCAATCCCAATCTCCCAATTTATCCCTCCGCACCTTTACCCCCGCCCCAGGTAACCATAAGTTTATTTTCTACATCTGTGACTCTATTTCTGTTTTGTAGGTAAGTTCACTTGTAGCCTCTTTTTAGATCCCACATATAAGTGATACCATATGATATTTGTCTTTCTCTGTGTGATTTACTTAGCTTTGATCAGAAGAAGGTTTATCCTCCTTTCACTTTCCCCACTCTCCCACTGAGATCCTCTGCTTTTTCCCTCACCCCCAGCCTCCTTTCTCTCCTAATGCCCACTGCCTCTTACCTTAGGAAAAGCATCCCAGTTGAAGAAAGGAAGTCTCCTTTTGACAGACTAAAAGAGAAAAAGAGAATGAGAGTGATGTGTTACAGGTCAGGTGAGCATGGATCAGTAAGCGCTTGCTGAAGAGCTCTCTCTAGCGGTGACGGTGTCATTGTTTTATAATTACAGTAAGCATTAATATTTCCTGAGCACTTCTTCTGTGCCTGCCTTATACTGACTGCTTTACGGGCATGATTTCATTTGGTCTTCACAGCAGTCTTTTTTTTTTTTTTTTTTTGCGGTACGCGGGCCTCTCACTGTTGTGGCCTCTCCTGTTGCGGAGCACAGGCTCCGGACGCGCAGGCTCAGCGGCCATGGCTCACGGACCCAGCCGCTCCGCGGCATGTGGGATCTTCCCAGACCGGGGCGCAAATCCGTGTCCCCTGCATCGGCAGGCGGACTCCCAACCACTGCGCCACCAGGGAAGCCCCACAGCAGTCTTTTGATGTTGGTACTGTCATTGTCTCCACATCACAGATGAGGAAACCATGGCTCAGAGAAGTTAAGACATTTGCAAGAGGGCATGTAGCGAGTATGTGCGGGTCACGCACTACAGGCTCTATTTCCAGCGCTACCACTGACTTAGCCTTCTAAGCTTGGGTAAGTCACCCAACTTAGAACCTCAGTGTCTTCCTGGAGGATGAGGGAATTCGAGTAAACTCTTGACTGATTAGGTTCTTCCTTTTCAGAGATTGTCTTTGTGGGCCACGTTAGGAAAATAAGGTCTGGCCACGACAGCCTCCCCAGGAAGTTTTCTTCAGTTGGGCAGCATCTAAGTGGGACAGTTACTCCCTCCTAGAGCCCAGGAAAGAACCAAAAGGGCTAGACTAGAATGCGTTGCCTCTACCCGGACCAACCGTCAGGAGAAAAAGGGCGCCCAATTGCTTACCTCGAAGAGGGCCTTCCAGTTCAGGAATTCATTAGCCTTAAGAACCTTTGCAGAGAGAGAAAGAGACCAGAAGAGAATCAGTTCCAGGGAAGGACAGAGCTTAGCCCCTAGCCCTCTGGGAAAGGTGAAGGACCATGACAGCTCTGCAAGCTCTCTACCCAGGCATCAATCTCCTTTAGGATTTGGATATTTATGGGGGCCGAATTAAAGAATTAAACTTACAGGTCGCGACTTTTCAATGTTTGGAAACTGGGCATAAGCGGTCTAGGCAAAGATGCAGGGTGTTCAGAAAGTTATTTAGGAACATGAACAGATGGGGGACGAACTCGTAGTCAGATGGTGGGAAAACAGGTGGTTTACCTCCTTGATTCCTGCCACATTATTACCAACGGGGCTTCCTTCCTGGAAAGCGAAGGGGAGAAAGGAGACAAATGATCGATCACACGATGGCAAATCCCCTTCCCCAAACCCTCTCTGCCAGTTCTGCTTCCCTCCACAGGCCAGTCCCATTCTCCACCACGGGGCCTCCGTTAACCCACTCTGTCCCAGTGTGGCGGATGACTGACAGATGTGCACATGTCGAGAAGGGATGGGAGAGTGGCACGGGGGACACAGAGAAGTCGGAGCCCAGGCCCGCATCCACCGTCGGCAGCAGGAAGAGAGGGCGGAGAAAGAGGATTCCTCCCAAGAAAAACGAGCTAGTGCGGTTCTGCTGTGGACTCAGGGTGTTCCCGAGACACCCACGCTCAGCCCACGGAGCTGGGTGTGGGAGATTGGAAGGCAGGTGGGGGCCAAGTTTCTGAGGTGCCCTGTCTGCCTTTACTTCTGGAGGTTGGTTTGCTTTGTGACTTGAATTGCCACCAAAGGCTGAGTCTCCGTCTCCCTGCTCCAGCTGGGAAGCCCACCTCCCACCCCCGGACTTCAGTGCCTCCAATCTGTTGCCATCCCGACCTTAGCTGCCCAGCCTCATTACCCCTCATTTCTTCCTTCCCACAACAGAGGTCACAAACAGGTAGCCTACAGCCTAGACCCAAATGTTTAGATCTCATCACAATTTGGTTTGTTTGTTTTTTAATTTGAATTAAAGGTTTTTAATTAGTAAGAATTCATAAATCCGATTTCCAGGTTCTCTTGAAAATTTTTAAACTCTGGCCACACTGGGTACATTTTCCCACTTAGCAGCAGTCAGATGGCATAGAGACTATCCCCTTCCAGGTTGGGCAAATTCATTCCACCTCCCCTGAGGCCCCACCAGCCCTCTTGCGCACCGACACCACTTGCTGGGATCCTAAGCAGTGGAGTCTGTGACCCCTATCGTAGACTTGCAAATCCAACATGCGCATTCCCCCATCCCCCTCACAGTGCGATAAGGTGGGGAGAGAGGGACCTCAGGATTTTTCCTGGCTGGAGACTGGCTCCTAAGGATTCTTGGTATGGCCTAAGCTCCAGAGGTAGCAGGGCGCTTCTAGCCACCTGAGAGCCATTCCCAGGGATACAAACAAAACAGATGTGGGGCTGAACCCAGACGACCAACTTCAGCCCCTGTCTCCTCTCAGGATGTCCAGCCTCTACCCCACACTTTACCATCCTTTCCAGAAATATAAGCCTCTCTGCCCCTTCCCAGGAAAGCTTTGTCTCCTTCCTTCCTCCTTTCTTCCCTTCCTCAGAGCCCCAGCTTCTCATTCAGCCCCTGGTAATAGCCAAAGATAAGAGCCACTTATCCAGTGACCGATTGAGTCAGCTAACAGGTATAAGAGAAGGAGAACCCAGGTGACGTGCTCACCTCAGAGCTGCCCAGGGCAGCCCCCTGAGCAGAGTGGAACGCCAGGAGAGAGAGAAGAACCACAGCAGCAAGAACTGGGATCTTCATGGTGTCAAGTTTGGGGTGTTCTGAGGCAAGGCAAGGCTTGCCCTTTATATTCCCAGGGAGGCAGATCTGAACAGAACTGGGGTCCCCACCCTACTGACTCACCCCCAGATCCTGTCGCCCACCCCTGGGGCTCTGGGAAGGGGAGGTGTGGACTGTTTCCCACTTACCTTGGATTTCTCAATTCACATTCTGCCCTGGGCACTTGGAAGGTAGGCTGGCAATGGGGTTCTTCAGGCAAATGGAGCTGAGATGGAGACAGGTTGGACCTGTCCCTCCCAGAGACTGGCCATGGCACCCAAGCAACCTCTCCTTTTGTCTTTGTCACTTTGCCTTATATCTCTTCGTTCCTCTCTTATAATTCAGGCTTTTCCCCACCCTATCCAGTTCTGTCTAAACTCCCTATACTGGCATTGAAGGCCTTCCATACTCTGACCTCAACCCACCCTTCTAACTTTTCCTTCTTTCATTCCCTTTGCACATACTTCACATTCTGGCCAAACTGGACTCCTTACCAAAGATATCCTTCTTTTTCCTCCTCCAAGCAGCTGCCCATGCTACCCCTTATGCCTAAAATGCCCTTCTCTCATCTCTTGTTCTCAGAACCCAACATCCATCCTGGATTAAGCTTCCCGGATGTCTCCTATCATCTGTCATCCCCCTTCCCAAACTTCTCCCTTCTCGTAATTGCCGTAGCGATTCATTTGTATCTCTCTGGCATTGTACCTAGAGTAACTTGCGTTCTTCCCTCTTAGAATAGCAAGTTCTTGAGGTCAGGAACTATGTCTTAATCACCTATGCATCACCATGCCCTAGCACCATGCCCTTACGCAGTGGAGGTGGATTCAACATACGCTAGGTTGGATATCTTAGAATTCAAGCATCCTTCCACCAAGTTGTGCGTTTTCTTCCTTTGGGGCCGGACCCATTATCCAGCTGCCCATCTTATACTCTTGGGTCTTCAGAGAGGTAACTGTCTTGAGCTAAGAAGACAAAGAATAGAGAAACACGGGGACTTCCCTGGTGGTGCAGTGGTTAAGAATCCGCCTGCCAACGCAAGGGACACGGGTTCGATCCCTGGTCAGGGAAGATCCCACATGCCGCAGAGCAACTAAGCCCGTGCCTCGCAACTACTGAGCCTGAGCTCTAGAGCCCCCAAACCACAACTGCTGAGCCCACGTGCCGCAACTAGAGAAAGCCTATGCATCAATGAAGACCCAACGCAGCCAAAAATTTAAAAAAAGAAAAAAAAAGAATAGAGAAACACAAAAAAGCAAAAATAGGTCTTAGAGCTACCCAGTTGGGCTCTAGGTCCTGAACTTTGAGCACCCACACCATTTCGTTGAGCTTATTCTGCTCCCCACCTGACTCCCCCAGCTTGACAGTTGTATCACCTCAAAGTGACAGAACATCCTAATCGAGTAGCGTTCTCCACAACTGAGGCTCAGGTGGCCCAACCGGTTCCTGGTGTAATAGGGAGGTGCTGGAACATAGACGGGTGCTGCCAGGACAAAGCAACACCTCATTTCAGCGTGGGCTCTTTACCCCGTCCTGATGCAATACACAGAGATAACAGGCCTGGAGGTGTAGCGGGCTGGATCTTATCCACCAACAGTCTTCATGAACCCCAGAACCTGGCACTTCAGTTCGATTCTCCTCCTGCCCCTACTCTCCAGTCCCCGACATCCCACCCCTCTTGAGCCTCCGGAAGCCTCCTCCGTTTTTCTAATGGCACCTCCCCTTTCGCAGAGCTACCTGAGGAGGCGGTGCTTGAGGAAAACTCGCTAAGCACAGATGACCATGTCATGCAAGGCTGGTGTTCCTAGAGGGGACGAGTGAGAAAATGACAGATGGGTGGAGCGCCTCCCCAAAAGGTTTTTCTGGAGGACACAAGTTTTTATGTGTAATGAATTCTCACCAATTCATTAACAGGGACTGAAAGAGCTCATTAACCGCCGTTAACTGCCTCTGTCATCATAGCGTCAACTGTGAACGAAGTTGAATGAAGAATGAGCAGAATGAAGGGTCAACAAAGGAGAGCTGATATTCAGTGATGAAGTCCAGTCAGACCTGCTAGTGGAGGAGCACTTCAGCCTGGGTAACTCCAGAGCAACAGAGGAGCCCAACACCGTCATCCGCTGGGCTTCAGCTTTCTTTTCCAACAAATTCATTTCCCTGTTTCCCTTTTTCCTCCTCACGCTAATGCTGCTAATAATAATGTTAGCCAATTTATTGATGTCGTACTCTGGGGCAGGCCTTGTGCTAGGTATTCTAAATGCATGATCTCACTGAAATATCACAGTGCTTCTGTGAGACAGGTATTAACAGTTATCCACATTCTGCAGGCAGGGGAACCACAGCACATAGAGGTTAAATAACTCACCCTAGGTCACACAGCCAGGTTGTGGCAAGGCCAGTGTTAGAACCCCAGAGTTCCAGAGGCTGCCCCTGTCTTGCCCCTTTGCTGTACTGTGTCCTACCAAGGGCCTCGGCCAGCCCACCTAACGCCCTGTATGAATTAGACCATGCCCTGAGAGTCGGGGGGCAAGGCTGCAGGTAGCCCCCTTTTGTCCTCTCGACCGGATGTCATTTTGTGGTGTGCAGCCTGCACAGCCATAGGTGGCAGCTCTGAGCAGACATGCATTAGTTTCAGTGGGTTAAACTATGCTCTTGCCAAATGAAAACCGAGAACTGAGAGATTGATGGTACTCAATGAGCATACGTCTCAGGGTGAACCTGTGATTGCCTCAGATTCCAGATGCCTCTTATAGTATGAGCATCTTGTCACAGCAAGTGTGTGTTTAAAAGACAGTCTTCTAGCTCTAGTGTTTGAAGTTTTAGTGTTTAAAGATGGGTTCTTTTATATAATGCCTCTAAATACAAGCCTACTACTTCATGTGCACAACCAAAGGAATTCTGTTCTTTTTCTGGAGGAAAAAAACTGGCTGTGCTAGACTTATGATCGATCTCCATTTGGCATTTTCAAGGGTAATTTTGGCTTTACATGATTTATGCTGTAAATGCTAATCTAGAGTCTGGTGTCTCTCTCCCAGTTCCCTCCCCTTCCCCCACCTAAACTGCCTCAGTGAGTTTGTGTTCCCCGAGTGCGCAGTGTCCAATGGTTGGGCAGGCTGGGGAAGAGAGGGTAGGGGGATGCTCACTGGCAGAGGGTCCCAGCGGTTGGAGTAATGGGTGGCAGGAGAATCTACCTGGGATTCAGCGTCGGCTGCATCACAGAGGGTTAGTGGAGTCGGACAGAGGCACAGAGCCTGGCTCTGCATCACCCCAGCTCCAAGTCTGCTCGATCTAGTTCCCACTCCGAGAATACCAATAAACCCCTGTTTTCCCACAGGCCTTCGCCCACCCCACCCCAAATCTGCCAGAACTTGAGTGTGGGTAGGAGGCCAGGCCCAGCCTTGATTGCTACATTACAGACACACCTAGGGGCTGGGAGCCAGCCTCCTGGGTTCAGGGAGGGAATGGGGGATTTGAAGGGATGCACACTGGGGCCTCAGGGTCTTGGTGAATATCTAGGTGAAAAGCCTAGAATCATTGGAGAGAAAGGGGGCTGGGGTGTGGGCTACTGGGGGGCAGAGCCCAGGGCATCCCTGTCCCGTCCTGTCCTCCCTCTGCCAGGGTTAGGGTCACACCCAAGAAAGCAATCACGCTGCCCAGCAGGTCTGGTTTCTTCCTTCACCGCCCACCCTCTGCCCTGTGCACGCTTTGCTTAAACTTCTCCCAGGAAGACCTCTTGGATTGAGCCCACTTAATTCTGATCTCTCCTTCCATCCTCTAACCCAAATATTTATTAAACAGCCATTTTGACTCCTGGTGCTGAGGATTCGAGATGGACAGGGTACGTGTCCTGTGAAGCTTGCGTTCCAGTTAAAGAGAGACAGATTACAACCTAACAAAAAATTAGGAAACAAGATCATTTCGAGAACATGACAAGGTCTGTGAAGAAAATAAAACAAGGTGACGTGATAGCGATTGGGTAGTTGTCGTCGGTTAAGCTGGCTTGGGGTTTTGAATTTAGACCAAAAGTCGTTAAAGTTTCAACCTTCTGAAGATCTCGGGTTCCAGGGACGGGTAGCAGCGGTGTTCCTCGGGAGCCTTTCCCAGCAGGTCCAGGTTGACATTGGACAGGGAACCAGAGGCAAACGGTGCTGAGCCATGCCGAGGGGATGTTATTCTACAACTAATGGAGCTTGTGGGGGATTCTGAGCAGGGGAAACTCCCTGGCTGCCGTGGGACAATGGACGTTAGGGGAAAATCGAAAGTCGGAGGCTCTGCCATGAAGCTGCTTCAGAGGCTCCGGCAGGACAAAGGGGAGGCCTGCCGTTTTATGAGAGTCCTTTACACCTGAGGGCCTTAGCCTGTGCTTTAAACTTCAGAGGGTGGCTTTCAGCCTTTTGGACCAGGAACGCCCCAAGTCCAGAAACAATGCTGACCACTTCAGCTTCTCCCTCAGTCCCTCAGGGACTGGCACGTGGCGACCCGAGGTCCAGCAGTCTGTAGCCCTCACCCCACACCCCAGGAAGCCCGCTGTCAGTCAGCGGGAAGGACTGAGCCTCAGCCCCCGGGAAGGACCGTGCTCTCTTCCCTGTGGCTGCGAGGAGGTAGTGCAAGGCCCTCCCTTCCCAGGTGAAACCCAAGATGAATAGAAGGCAGGAGCCGCAGTTTAAGGACAGAAGTGAGAAGAGGATGCACATCAAGTTGGTTCCCCCAAGTCCTTTTGGGGCCCGACTTCTTTCATTTATTCATCAACTGAGGCCAACCCTGTGCCAGCCCCTGGGCTAAGCCCTGGGAACGCAACAATGATCAAGGCAGGCAGCAGTCGTGCCCTCGGGGAACTTGCAATCTCTGAGGGCGTCACTGAAGCTGGCAGGGTGCTTCCTGTCCTCCTTTCATTTCCTGGGTCCACGAGAGGTGGTCAAGGACCTCCGAGGTGTCAGAGAGCGGTGGGGCCCCTTAGTTTAGGCTCACTGTGTGAGCTTGGCGGGACTTTGCTCAGAGACTCTAAGCACAGACTCCCCGCCCCGTGCCCAGGGCTCCTCGGCTGGTGATCAGCCCGGGCTCAGCCTGCGCCCCGGCTTCTGGCTGTTTCCTTGGTGCATGAATGGAGTAGAAGTTTTTCACCACACCTCTGTCTCCTGGAGAGCCTCTACGGCACGTGACAAGGGACTGGGTACTCGCCACTCCCCCCAGCTTCCTAAACATGTCAACCCAGACTCACCCTTGTCCACACCTTGGTGTGTGCACGAGGCTGAGTCTGAGGCGTATTCTCTGCCGGTCCCGCGCTCTTCCTTCGCTCTTCCTTCTGCCCCGCCCTGACCCTCCAGGATGGGTCTCCTCTCTTGGAAGAGTCCCTTAACTCCCACCTCCTGATTTCAGTAGCTCCCCTGTGGCTTTTTCAGGCCAGCGGAACATCCGTGACTGCTCCAAGTGCAGTAAGCCTGCTAGTCACATGTAAATTGGGCAAAGATGATTTTTCACAGATGGAGAAACCCAGGCCCGGTGAGATCCGCTACTTCTCATCAGGACGTCCCAGTCTTCTCTCTCTCGGCCCATCCTGTATACCCCTCTCAGGAGGAAGGCGAGTTACCTGCCCCTGAACCTCCCTCTTCCCTCCTCCCTGATCCAGGCCATCAGTGTAGTATTAAAGAATAAAATTTGCCAAAGTTGGGCTTCCCTGGTGGTGCAGTGGTTGAGAGTCCGCCTGCCGATGCAGGGGACACGGGTTCGTGCCCCGGTCCGGGAAGATCCCACATGCCGCAGAGCGGCTGGGCCCGTGAGCCATGGCCGCTGAACCTGCGCGTCCGGAGCTTGTGCTCCGCAAGGGGAGAGGCCACAAAAGTGAGAGGCCCGCGTACCACAAAAAAAAAAAAAAAAAATTTGCCAAAGCCTTAGGGAAACAAGACTCATGTTTTATTTCCACAGAGAAACTCTAAAGTAGGACACGCCTCCTGAATTTCTGTCATGGTAACTTCAGGTCACAAAATGGAGCAGGTGAAGCAATGGCTGGTGTATCCACTGAGACTGACGGTCAAGGAGACACCACAGTGGGTGGGAGGAAACAAGGGACAGACAGATAGGCACCCAACCTAGAAAAAGCAGGTGTTAGCACCCATACCAAGAGCTGGGGGAGGGGCACAGTCAGGTCCCTTGATGACTGATGGTTTTCAGGGCTTCAGTCGCAGTTGGAGGTGATTTTCTAGAAGACAAGAAAAGAGAAAATGGTAGAACACGGCCACTCCTAGAGCTGCTGAAATCAGGCATCCTCTCACCCAGCTTCTGCACCCACAGTTCCCTCGTGTCCTGCCTATGTCACCTGCGGTCCCCTCACTTTCACTCCTCCCTAAAACAAACATTACCTCTTCCCCACCGGCGACTCGCGTCTTTCTGCCTCTGAGCCTTTAAACCCGAAAGGCTCACCTCACTACAGTCCCCCCCCCCCCCCCCCACAATGCCTATCCTGTTCCCGCTGCTGTTCTCTGGCCCTGCCTCTGTCAGGCCACCACCCAGCACTCAGAGGGTGTTCCGAGTGTTCTAGGTCATCTTCTCATGAGTCTTTCTCCACACCCCATGCTGGGGTCTCCTCCTTAATACCTTTAGTGTGTCCACCCAGAGCAAAGGGAGTGCCAAGCCCCCAGCCCTCCCTCCCCCCGCCCACCCCCGGGGCGGTGCGCCTCAGCTCCTGGCTGCAGCCTTGCACAGCTCACTGGCACTCACCTACCAAAACTTCACCCACTGCAGCAGGTCAGGTCGCGCCCGGGAAGCCTGCAGGACGAGGAGAATGTCTGAGTGGACAGAGCACCGTCCCCGGCACACCCTCTGGCCTCAGACCCCTTCTCTCACCAGCCGGATTTTCTCTGCCCTAGTACTTACCGAGGAAGAAATCGTGACTCCCCCCTGTAAAGAGAAGATCAGAGGAGGTGAGGTGAGGACCTCAGTGCCCTCTCTGTACTCGACCATGTCCTTAGGGCTCAGGAAGGGCCCATGGCGGGGACAGGCTCAGATCAGGATCACCCCAAAGGTCCTTTGGTCTGATTGTGGCCCTTCAGCCACAGCAGATATCTCACCCTGAGTGCATTTTACCCAAGATGATATTGAACATGGTCCCTGAGCACACACTGACCAAGGGGAGTGAAAAGAGGAAAGGTAGGTCTCCCTCTGCCTGCTAGGGGGATAGAAATTGGCCACGAGCAATGGGCAGAAGTGGGTACCCACAGGTAGTGTTAACTGCATCTTCACCTCCTTTCAGTCAGCAGCTAGATTCTGATCTCTCAGTAGAAGTCCTCTCCCCAAGGGCAGGGGCTTTATTACTCTGAGAGATGGAGGGATAACACTGCCTGTTTGTTTGTTCGTTTCTAAGCAGCCTAATTAGTACGTAGCACATTCATTTACTGAATTTATCAGATTGTTTTCTTTGCACCGGGATAAAACAAAATCGTCAAATTGTTTTTCCTGTTATCTCCTTTGTGAAAGGAAGCATTTATTTTCCCACCAACCAAGAGTTTCTGGGCTGGCCTCCTCTCCCCAAGAAAGGTCAGCAGACAAAGGAAAGCTGTCTGTCTGTTTTGCCGTGTGCCGTGTGATTTTTTTTTTTTTTTTTGGAGCCTTATATTCTTCACTGAGAGGATCTTGGGTCCCAGTTTTCTCCATGGCAGGTGATGTACCCACGGCTCCCCTAGAACCTTTTCTGAGTGAGTGGGTGTGAACCTTCTACCCTTCTCTTCCAAACTGCTCTCAGGGAGCTGGAGTCCCCCTGCACAGGGGTGGGGTGACATGACTATCAAAGTGAACAGGATTCGGCCTCAGCTAGCCTACCCAGAGGACCTTGGCAGTGAAGGCCTCCCCCGTCACCCCCAGGCAGACCCCGTGCAGTGGGAGTCAGGAAGGTTGCAAGCCTTACCTTAGGGGGGATCTTGGCTGAGTACTGCCCCCCACTGGCAGTAGAGTGTGTCTGCTGGTTATAATCGTAGTTCTGCGGAAGGAAGCAGGGGGCGGGAGAGAAGGGATGAAGGCATTTTGCTCCCACATCCCGGCCCTGGCTGGACCTTTCTCAAAGCCCCTGCCTCCTCCCCTCCTTGTGTCATGTGTTTTCTTCTACAGAATCTCCTTGAGCCAGAGCCCACACCCTCACCTCGCTTTATGGTCCCAGCCCAGATGGCCCTGCCTCCCTCGTCCCCCTCCAACTTTCCCAGCTCCTCAAGTGTCCCTGGGGAGGTGAGGCGAGGAGACCAAGGAAAGAAGTGAAGTCTGAATCAGGTGGTCGGGTGGCAGTTACCTTAGAAGTTACAGCTGCCGCATCTTGGCATACTGTACCAGGCTGAGAAAATTACAGAACGGGGGGCATGAGGAGAGAGAACTGCAGATTGGCCACACCCGGGAGCAAGGCTGAGAGGAACCAGGGACCTTCTAGGGCCTCCTGAGGGAGGGGCTCACCTGACCAGCACCGCCTACCCTCCTCTGGTCCGATGACGCACGGATGCGAAGGGAGAGGGCACCACGGTGAGGGTGGCTCCGTGGTGCTTCAGGCCTTGCTGGACTCTCGAGGCTCCAGCATCCCACCACCCAGGCTCTGCCCTCCCTTTAGAGCCCCAGCATCCCGCCTGGCCCACCCCACCCCTCTCAGTAGTCTGTGATAAGTGCTGCCTACAGAGAAGGCCTGGAGGAAACTGATGGCCCAGATAGACACAGGACAGATTTCTACACTCAGCATTGGGCAGCCAGGGTAGAGAACGGGTTGGCAACACCTCCGCCACCCAGGCACCTGGAGCCGGAGCTAGAATAACAAATGAGCGGTACCCGCACAAGCTCCCGGGGCAGAGCTGGGCACCTCAGCCCCAGCCCGCCTTCTGCCTGCAGCAAACCCTGCTCCCCTCATAGGCCTTTTAATCCCTGTTCCCAAATGCTGTTCTCTATATGGTCCTTGGAAGGATGGTCTGTTATTCATAGAGGCGAAGTGGAGTACGTTAGGTTAGCTCTGGGTCAAAGGAGAGAAAGGAAGGGGAGAAATACAAGAAAGCAGATGGAGCCCCCTTAAGAAGCACTGCAGATGCGCTGGCCACCTCCCCTGCCCCGATCGAGGCAAGAGGAAAATCTCCTCAGTAGGAGGGAAGTTTAGTTCCTGCCATTGTCACTTCTCTACTAGAAACACACACACACACACACACACACACACTCACACACTCTCTCTCTCTCTCTCTCAGGGTCAGAATGTTCTTCCCAAGTCTGGCTTAACTCTCTACCTTATCCATACCTGACTTCTAACCGCACTGTTAGGCCTTACACCGTGGGCACAAACTGGTAGACCGCAGGCCTCCAGACATTTTTTGCTTGGTCCACATGTTTAAATTAAATTAGTTGAAAACCAGATTTCTAGCTTTTCTTGAAAAATCAGACAATGTGGCCCCATCTGTCCAGCCTCACGTGCCCACATGGACAAGTGAGTGGGCAGCCCTTGCCTCAGTGCCCAAGCGTCCTGATTCCCGAAGGCCACTGGCCATGCAGAATGGACGTGTGGCCTTTGACAGGACCCAGAGGCCCTGCCCATCCTTCCCAGAACCCAGATAATCAGACCCCCTGCAGCTGCCTGCACTCGACCTTGACCCTCCGTCCTCCCCCCATGCACACTGCCCTCCCGCCGCCCTTCAACTTTCCTCCCTAGTGACCCCTTTCCAGCCCTGAGAGTTGGCCCCAGTCCCAGGTCCCTCCCTCTTCCCCACCCCATGGTCCCCTCCACCTGCTCACAGCAGCTGTGGCTTCCCCCAAGCCAGGCCACGCCCAGCCGGAACAGCAGCAGGCGGAGACAGTGGCTGGCTTCATGATCTTGTGCCTATGGAGGCCCTAACCCTGGACCTCGGCTTTTATCCCAGGGAGGACCTCCCACTCTGCTCCTTCTTCAGTGACTCACAGCTTCCCTCTCCCATCCCACCTCCACTGGTGAGGCGTTGCACAAAGGGAGGAAAGTGGGAAGGGAGGGAGGCACCCCCCCCCTCAGCAGGGATGGGGAGGAACCGGAACAGAACCTGCAAGCCACTGCCCAGGGCCCAGAACCCCGCGTCCTCAGAGCTGAGCTTCCCGACCCTGAAATGAGGGGTCCCACTGCCCTTACCTCAGTAATTGCTTTCCAGTTCAAGAAAGGAGTGTTGTGTTTGAACTTCTGGAGGGAGAAGGAGAGATGAGTGGGCCGTGAGGAAAGAGAATTCCAAGGGTGGAGGGGGGCAGCTGGTTGGGAAAGTTTGGCGCTGGGTGTAGTTTGGGGTTAGATAAAGATAAGCCTACAGGAGACTGAGGGTGTCAGCATTTCTGATGGCATTGGTGATAAGACTTGGGTGAGATTACCTATCTCAAAAGTGAGAAGAGGGGGAATTTTGTGACAGGTAGGCTGGAGGGAGGGGTAGCTGCCTTGAGGGAGGGAGGGGAAAGGGACAGGATGACCAGGATCCTCAGTTCTTCAAAGACGGAGAATTCTCCTACCTCCCAGAGTCGACTGAAGTAGAGGAGGATGCGAGTCCTGAGACTTGGGACTTGGTTCTGTGGATAAAAGTGGGGAACAGGTGAGCAGGGAGTCTGACCCCTGCTCACCTAAGCCCCTCTGCTCCTGCGACCACCATTCCTCAGCCTACAGGATTCACTGTGACTAAGGTCCAGGGGGAGCTGGGTGTCTTTAGGGACACCAGAAAACTGTTTCTGGAAACAAGGAGAGAGAAGCTAGGTCTCTGGAGCCACTAACCACCCCTCCGCCACATACACAGCACACGACACCATTCTTCTCTAGCCCCGTTTCCCCCCCAGCCTCAGGCAGAACACAGCTGTGGCAAAACCTCAGGACCAGAACCTGCCCCTGACATTCCCACTTTTTCACCTGCCATGCCACCTCCAGCCCATCTCCCAAAGCTGTAGGGCTGAAGTCTCCCTTTCCTAACCCCTCCTGGAACAACAGTGGAGATGTAAGAAAGGAGGAGACACCAGGAGTGTGGGAGAGCTGATATTTATTTCAAGGACAAGGGTTGAGATTAGTGGGGAGACAGTTGCTTCCCTGGTCAGGGGGGCTTCCCTGGTGGCGCAGTGGTTAAGAATCCGCCTGCCAATGCAGGGGACATGGGTTCGAGCCCTGGTCCGGGAAGATCCCACATGCCGTGGAGCAACTAAGCCTGTGTGCCACAACTACTGAGCCTGTGCTCTAGAGCCCACGAGCCACAACTACTGAGCCCGCGTGCCACAACTACTGAAGCCCGTGCAACTAGAGCCCGTGCTCTGCAACAAGAGAAGCTACCGCAATGAGAAGCCTGCGCACCGCAACGAAGAGTAGCCCCCGCTCTCCGCAACTAGAGAAAAGCCCGGGCACAGCAACGAAGACTCAACGCAGCCAAAAATAAAAATAAGAAGTAAATAAAAATTTTTTAAAAAAAGAGAATGGGTTGGGGCCCCCATCCATCTGGAGGTCACGGGGTGCGAAAACTCCTCTGGTCCTGAGCAAAGAAATAAGTTCTAAGGGGGAAGTCAATGACTAGGAATTCAGGGACTAGTGGACCAAGCCAAGGGTAGATTGGACACCTGCTCCGGAAATCCGCAGGGACCTTTTGGCCCACGGCTTTCATCGGGGCAAATCCAGAGAGTCCAGCTTGGGCTTGAAACCCACCCCACCCCCATACTTGCCAGGAACGTTTGGTCCCCCGTCCTTGCTCCTCACCCTGGCTGAAGTCCTCGGCTGCCTCGTCGCACCTCCCTCCGCTGTGAAGGAGCTGGGGACGCTCCATCCTCTTCTCTGCCCACCTCTGTGCTGCCCCTTCCCTAGGAGATCCGATCCTCGGGGGAGCCACCCCAAATGAATGCCACCTGACTGCAAGCACTCCCCTTACTGCCCCCCTGGATGTGCAAAAACGTTTGGCTGTCAGTCCTCTGGCCCTCTGGGAAGTATCTGTGTGTGCCCTGGTTCTCCCATCAGACCCTAAGTGCCCCACGCTCAGGGGCCTGGTCTCCCCGTGGTCCATGGTAGGGAGTCTCACCCCTACCAGAGACAGTTCTTTACGAAACAGAACAAAACAGTCTATTTTGTTCATCCAAAACAGGACTCCGCTGTAGCTGGGAGCTTCTGCATCTCCTGTCTTTCACTCCCCACCTTACCGCCAGAAAGTGACGTTCCTGAGGGCTGTCCCTTTGCCTCCCCGCCTGCCACCAACCCCCTCCCTCACAAGTTCTGGAGGGCAGGGGTCCTAGTCTGCCTTCTTTTACGTGAAGGGTCAGAAACTACACTGCCCACAGGAGCCAGGCGGGTGGCTAGAAGAACTGTGGTGGGCGGTGGGAGTCTGACCACGGGGGAGCGAGTGCCCACGGCAAGAAGCAGCTACCTCTCGAAAGAGGGGCCCGGTGTTGCCGTACTGTTCTTTACAAATGAGTCAAACAGCCGGTGGGCCGCAGATTGCAGCTTCTGCCTTTGGTATCTGGATTGTTTATTTGTCCTTCACCTCCTCTCTCAGTCCACATCCTCTGCTCTGGAGGTACATCTGCTATTCTGGTGTCAAATCAGCCTGGCCAGGGCTTCCGCTGCAAGAGGAAGGGGTGGGTGGGGAGGAAGGAGAAGCAGGTTCTGGGCCCCAAGCGACTCCTAACATTACATATGTGCAGGGCCCGGACTGATGGCACCGCCAGGCTCTCGGCATGTTCGCTTGCTTTTCCCATCTCTCTGGGCATCAGTCCTCAGGTGGTCTTTTAGCTTTGCCTGATGATTCGGTCCGTCCCCTACCTCTGCCTCTGGTTCCTGAGGATTAGGCCTACTGACTCTCCCCTTAACCTTCTGGTGTCAAAGGGGAAACTGAGGTTCAGGCCACTTCAGGTCTGCATGTTGAGACATGAAAGAGGCCCATTCCCTCCTCGTCCCCCCACTCCCAGCTGCTTGCAAGTTCCCCCTCTCTTTTCAGGTCTCTGCTGTCCTTCCTCCTTGTTTTCATCTTTTCTTTTTAAAGCACTGGCTGGAATGCTGTCTTCGTGACCATCATCATTGCTCCCTGGCTCACCAAGCAAGGGTTTAGCTTTCTTCTCTATATCCCTTCTCCCACAAAGATCAGAATGAATGGCCTTCCAGCCCTTACCTTGTTGATGGTGTCCCAGTTCACGAAACCCAGCTTGGATTTTAAATTCTGCAGAGAAAAAGAAGGAGAATGACCAAATTGGGTCATAAGGTAATTGGCTCAGGGCCCCAGGACAAGAGAGGTCAAGGGCCACTGCTGACAGTCATTATAGAAAGAAGACTTCACCCTGTGGGACCAAGGGACAGAGGTTTGATTTTGCAAAGGAGAGCGAGCAGAGCACTCTTGTCAAACTCACCTTCCAGAAAGTGTCCAAGCTGAAGAGCCCAGGAAACGTCTGAGAGTTCTAAGGGACCGATGAGAAACGGGATGAGAGTAAGAACCCATGCTGTGAGCACGAGGCAGGGGCAGGAGATATGGGTGTCGGGCGGAGGCAGGGGTTGCTTGACACCACGGTCCCAGCCCAAGGAGGAGTGACCTCCTCATTCACCAAGATGTTGTTTCTATTGACAGCTTCCCCTCCCCCGCTAGACCCTTGCCCCTGGGTGGGGAAAAGGGAACTGATGGTCAAGGCTCTACATCCTGTCGTGCATGCCACCTATCACCCCACTCCTGGCCCACCCTTCTCCGCCTCTGGTCGAGCCACCTTCTCCTCTTCTCAACACAGCACCTAAGAGCCCCACCTCCAGAAAGCCTTCCTGGACTGACTCGCTACTTGCTCAGCAGGATAACCCCACCCAGTCCCTTGAATCATATCCATATTCGTGTCCCCCCCCATGCCCTGCCCCCCCCCAAACACTGCTAGTAGCCAATATGTAGTCCCACTGTGCGCGGGGCGCTGCGCCTCCACCCGCCACTTTCCCATGTGGAGATGCCTCCACTTTACAGATGGAGAAACTGAAACGTAGAGCTGTCCAACAGCTTTTCTCAGCATCTGTCTCCGTGTCAGACTCCAGTGTCGGGACTCTGAGCCACCTTGACGTGATTATGATGCAAAAGCGCTGCAGTAACCAAGGGGGGTGAACAAGTTAGGCTTTGCTGTCCCCATTTTACCCAAGAGGGAGCCTGGGCTCAGAGAGGTTAATCGACTTGCCTGATGACACACAGATGACAGGTAACACAGCTGGCGTTTGAACCCCCATCTTCTGAATCAAAGCTCACTGCCTTTCCACTTGTCAACCCTGCCTTCTTAAATATGGTTTAAAAAAATATCCCCTTGATTATTCTGTCATTTTTGTCTGTTTTTCCACCTCACTATATATTGAAGACTTTGGTAGTATAAAACTAGAAATAGAATTACAAACTGGGAGAGGGTTTCTTAAAACCTGTCTACCCATGAAAGGTTAGTATCCCTGATATGCAAGGAGCTCTCCCAAGAGCCTTCCAGGGTGGCACCACCACCCCTCGCCTCCTCCTCCCCGTTAGGCGTGCTCCTCGCCCTGTGGGCCCCACTCAACCCCCCGGGGCACGGGCTGGCAGCCTCTCCAGGATGCCTGTTAGAAACCAGAATCTCAGCCCCAGCCCAGCCCTGCTGAATCCGAATCTGTATTTTCACAAGACCTCTAGGTGATTCCTGTGAGCCTTAGCCAACACTTCCTCTGTCAGCATAGCAGTTGCTGAAGGAGAGGCAGATTTCGAGAATAACTAGGAGGGAAATTGTACGCTCTCGAAACACTGTTTCCATGTACGCTCTCGAAACACTGTTTCCATGTACGCTCTCGAAACACTGTTTCCAAAGTCCTTCAGAGAAGTCACCTGAATACTGTTTACCCGCAGGGTATAGGACGTTTGAAACAATCATGTTTCTAGAAGGATTGGTTTTCATACGATTTTTCACAGCCCCATCTGTGGTATAAAGTGAGGTATATCATGTAAGGATCCGCAATTAATTGTTACTTCGGAGCTGGTTAGTCTTTTTAGGAGCATGTGTTTGGTTTCTTCCCTCTAGATTGTAAATTCCCCAGAGAGGGGTTTGGGACCAGAGCTAGCCTTAGGAGGGGACACCGGAGCGGAGTTGCATTGAGGAGGGCACACAGCTGCCGTGATGAGCTGCCGTCACTGCAAGTTCGCCTCTCACCTGACCCCCAGATTCCCCGGACACGTGGACTTCACTGCGTGGATTATCGCACGGTGGGAGAGAGAAAGAGAAACTCTCATTTCCCACGAAGACACCTAGTCCAGTCCCCAGACTGCAGCATTTTAACTCCGTGGCTGGCCCGGGTCCGCCGACCCGGCGGCAGTCAGCCCGTTCCCCGCCCATCCCTCAACGCCTCTTGTTTTCCTTCCCACGGTTCGGGGCAGATCTGCACAGACAAGCCCTCTCCAGGCGCTCACCTCGGGTTTGTTCCCACCACTTCCACCCCTGCTACCCAAGGAGGAGCTGGTATTGTATCCCAGCAAGGGAAAGCGAGAGTCCATGTGGGGTCTCCAAAGGGCTTGGAAGGGCCCAAATCGTTCCCAAAATAGGAAGTCATCCCATAAGAGGCGCTATGATATTTTAACGCCCTGCCCAAGCTCCACACTGTCCCATCTTCAGCTGGTCAGTCATGGAGGGAAGTTATTCGGGGCACGGAGAAGGGTAGGTGTGGCCACGTGTATTTGGAAATGTGGGGTAATTGGGGGATTCTGAGCTGCTGCCGTCCAACCTCCACTTCATGCCAGGGGTGGAAAAGCCACTGGAGGCCAACTTCATAAGAGCCGTGACCCCGGCACCCTGGGGCTCCTTCAGCCCTCCTCCTGCCTCTCCTCACCCCTCACCCTCTCCTGGAACCTAGAAAGGGGAAGGGACCCCTAGAATCCTTACCTGGGAGTAACCGCCTTGATCAAAATTTCTAGAGTTTTCGAAGGGTCAGTTGTAGGTGCGGGGGGAAAGCAGGTAGTTACAGGGAGCAGTAAATTAACACTTGGCTTGTTCTTGCCTGAGACCTTTCCCAGACCCCCAAGGAAGCCAGCTGTGCCCCCTCTCAGCAGGACCCCTGATGGGAGTTCTGCCCCAATCCGGCTGCCAGGTAGTGGTCCCCTCCTGGCCCTCTCACCCCTCACGTAGGGACACTGTATTTGTTAGCATCCACACCTCAGCTCTGTAAATGTCCTTAAGTTTCCACGTGCGGTTCTGCCCCAATCCTCCTGGGAGCTTCCCAAACAAGTGTCATGTTTCCCTGTGCCCACCTCTCTTGCTCCATCCACTACCCCAGCTCTAGTCCAATTCGCCAAGTGGACACGCCTGCAGAACTAGAGGTCAGACAGGAGACAGGGCATCCCCGGCACCAGGGAGTGGATGACGAGGGGCTAGAGCGAGCACAGTAGGCAGGGCACCTCTTCTGGGAATTAGAGGGCACATGTAAGCCACACTTCCTGGTGAGGCTGGGAAGGTGGGGAACAGAAGCTGAGGGAGCCCAGGATGACAACTCCGGTGACGCCACCTACCCTGGGGCTGGCAGCATTCAGGAAGACCTCGGAGTGGGTCTCCTCAGCAGGGACCACCAGGGGCCCCACCTCTGCCTTCAACAAAGGAGAACTTACCCAGTGGAGCCCAGAACTGCCACCGCTGCTGCTGTTGCTGCTGCCGCTTCTGCCACCACTGATGCTGCCACCGCTGTTCCTGCCATTACTGCTGCTTCCCTGAGGGTCAGGAAGAGACCAGAGTGAGGTCTAAAGATGAGGACAGCAAGATTGCTTTCCTCCCTCCCCGGCCTCCCTTGCTCAGGAATATTTCCCGCCCAGCCTGAGGGGAGCAGAATTTCTGCAGAATGCCGCAGGTTGTCCTGTCCTCTTACCCCAGAGTTGCTAGAGCTTCTACCTGAGCCAGATGGTGGGCGGTTGGTGCATTGCAGAGGGAAGGGGACGGGTGAGGTTTGAGACTTCAGTCAAAGCCATCCCCACAGGCCAGGCTCTCCTGCTTCCTTGGCTTGGCTTTCCTTCCCATCGCATCTCTCTTCCATGCCCATCTCACTCTTCCAAGCCTCCTCCCCACACCTATCTCTCCCCTGTCCGATCTGCCTCTTCCCTCAACCCCTCCCCTGCCCATCTTTCTTTCCTCTTCGTCTCTCCCACTTTCTATCACACGCATCCAGACACCTCTTCTTCTCCAGACTCTTCCTCTTACCTCTGCATTTGGGTTGTCGCTGCTTCTCCTTGAGCCATAAGTAGGTTGGACCACAGCTGCCTGCAGGGAGGGTGAGACTGAGCATGGGATCGGGAAGGACACGGGGGAAACGCCAAAAGTGTGGGCTTGAAGGGAGGGAGGTGGCAGGCATCAGGGCCAGGGTGATGTCCTGATGTCCTGATGTACCTGAGTGTTGGTCCCTAGGTTGAATGCCCCTCCATAGCCTTCGTGGCCCCAGGAGCCTCCCTGAGAGTTGGTCCCAAAGCTGCCACCTGAGTCTCCAGAATACACATGGTCCCAGGGAATCCCTGGACCTCCAGGATTGCCTGGAGAGCCAGAGGTGCCATGGCCTCCAGATGGAGGCTGCCCATTGGTTCCCTGCAAGGACAACATGGCCGCACTGAGTGTGTGTGGCCATCTCACTCTGGGATGGGGTAGGACAGGCAGAGCAACTCAGATAGAGGAGCCACAGGGAGAAGCAGGTGGAGAGAGACCTCAGGGTGGTGGGGGAGGGATGCCTAACATAGAAGGAAACTGGCCCAGACAGCCACCAATAAGGGAGCCCTTCCTCCTATTAACTGCTTCCCAGGACTCTCAACCCAGCTGCCCACAGCCTCCCATTTCCACACCTGGCTTCCAGCCACTCACCAAAGCACCGTTGCCGCCAGGCATCCCCTGCCAGGAGCTGTGGGCAGCATCCACTCCGTGCTGAATGACATTCTCAGCCTGTCTGCCAGCCTCACTCCCAGTGTTTCCAAGAGCGTGGGCCGCTTCCTCAACCCCACGGGCGAGAGCATCCCCCACACCGGGGCCCATGGTCTCCTTGACTCCAGAATCCGCTGCCTCTCCATCCCCTCCGCCAGTGGCCTCCCCGACCCCGTGCTTGATGGCCTCTCCCATTTCTTGTCCAATGGCCTCTCCCACCCCGTGTCCAGTGGTCTCCACGGCCCCTGCTCCAGAGCTCCCTCCACTCAGCAGTAGGCCAGCCTCCCCACTGCTCAGGCACAGGACCAGCAGGAGGCAGGCCAGACACCCCTGTAACTTCATCTCTGCCTCGTTCCTTCTCTCCTGAGTGTCTTCTTCCCACCCAAGTTTACTCGCTTGCCCTTTCTCTTTCCCTGCGTCTGCGTGCCCTCCTCCCTTCTCTCCTTCCTTCTGACTTCTCGTTCTCCCTTCCTCTAGGTCTGCAGCCTTCTCTCTCCTTTCCCAGATGTCCCTGTTTTCCCAGAGCCCTTATCCCCGCCGCTACTCCTTATACTGTAGCTTGGAAGAAGGTGGCAGGGCTGGGCAGCCCAGAGTCCCTCCCCCCAGTGACTCAGGCCCAGCCACCCATAGGTGAGCTGTAATTGTGAGTCTGAGAGCCTGTGTCGAAACAGAGAGGGAGCCCGTGCATCAGGGAGGGAGGGGGAAATGGGATGAGACCGGTGCCAAAGTGTTCCCATTTCCCAACCCCAGGAGTCTGGGGCGCAGGGTAGGGGGTCGCATCTGAGGTGATAGGCTGGTAGTATCTCCTAGAGGCGGTGGGGTGGGGGGGACTTAGGAGAGAGGAATCAGGCAGGACCTCATCAGGGGGGCCAGGGTAGGGAACCCAGCGGGATAGGACCCACCCTAGGTGTAAGCCAGCCTGGGTCGGGGACGCCAGAATGGCAGGACGCCACCTGCCGCTGCAGGTGCCCTTCCTCAGCCTTCCTCTCCGTTTCCATCGGCCTTTGTCTCTCCCATCTCTGTCCCCTCCCATACTGCCACCTAAAGGTGACTGCCTCACACTTCCACACCTTCCAGCCACAGAGAGCCTGGGACCCGGAGGACCGCCCTCAGTGGGGACGCCAGGCATCTGTCGGGGAAGGAAGTGGCTGCGACCCTGAGAGGGGTCATCGGGGCGTCTCAGTTAGCATCCCGGCTGCTCTGAGCTGAGAAAGCTGGGTGTGGAGCTGGGGAGCTGGGCAGGCGGGCCACCCCCAAGGAATGAGGGGGCGGGGAAGACCTAGGGAGGGAGCTGCTGACCCAGGCACCCATCCTGTTTACCAGGCCTGGTGGGGGCACGTGTGTGAGCTCAAGGCCTGCCGCGAGGGCTGGGACTACACCAGCGCACCCCACTGCTGCCCCCAGCCCCTCCCAGAGGGGCCAGAGTGGCACTGGCAAGGGAGGAGGGGTCAGCACAGGGGCAGGAGCCCCGGGTCAGCCAGTGGCCCTCTCCCCTGGGCCCAGCTCAGGATGCAGAACTCGGGCAGCCTCCCGAGGTCTCATCGCTGCTCAGCGAGCGAGGCTGCTTCTCCACTCCCAGGAACCCCAGGTCCTCCCACTTGGCACTGCCTTGTATCGCTGGGACTCATCGCCGAGTTAGGAGGGGCCGGTTTCTATCCGCCTTTCTCAGCGTCTCTCCGTCAGTCTCTCTCTCCACCCCAACTCGTAACACCCATCACCTCTCACCATGTAAACACAATCCCTGTCTGCCCTCCGCTGCTCCTTCCTAGCTCCTTATTATTCCATCGCCGACTCTTTAATGATGATCATAGTGGTGGGAGTAGTAGCTGCAGCGTACCCAGGGCTTTCTATGTGCCCAGCTCTGGACTAAGAAGCCCCTTAAGGCTCAGACGGCCCCGGGAGAACCGTCCTATTCTCAGCCTGTCTGCCAGCCTCTCTCCCAGCGTTTCCAAGAGCGTGGGCCGCTTCCTCAACCCCACGGGCGAGAGCATCCCCCACCCCGGGGCCCACGGCCTCCCTGCCTCCAGAGCCTGTTGCCTCTCCACGGGATGACTCGGTGATGAGTCCCAGTGACCCAAGGCAGTGCCAAGTGGGAGGACCTGGGGTTCCCGGGAGTGGAGAAGCAGGCACCACATTTAGGGACAGAGAACTTGGGGCTCAGAGGGGACATGGTGAGTATGCGGTAGAGGCAAAGCTAAGCCCAGCCTGTCTCATTCCTGAGCCTGGCTTCCAGCGTATTCTGTCATCTCCGTGTCTCAGACCTTCCCCTGCTTTTCGAAGCCCTCATTCTTCTCTGGATAGAATTAGTTTGGATTTTGCTCCGGGGCCATGTAAGGGGCAGAGAGCAGGAGGAAATCTGAGGCCTCCGGGGTTGGTGATGGACATCCCAGCCCCCTGAGCCTGCTGCTTCCCGTTCCCGCGGGGCAGGACCACAGGGCAGGAGGTGGTGTGCATGCTCACTGACTCCAGGACTCCTTCCCACACTTCCTTCGCGGGACACCCTTACCATGGTGTAGAGCTGCCCTCTCCCTTCTCTGTTACTAATATTTTTCTTTAAGCCAGCTTACTTTCTTAAGTATATTTTAAGAGAATACTTTATATCACCACTCTTAAGTGGAAAGCCAGGCTCACTGGCCCATAAATAGAAAGAACCAGAAAAACAAAGTGAGAAGCAAACAATCGTATTACATTATAGCTGGCGGCAGCTCCTGTACCCTCTTTGTTAAAAAGGGAGATTAGCAAGTATGAGAGAGGTGTTCCAGGCACACCAGCACAGAAATGGAGTCTTCCTCTTTACCTAATCAGAAAGCTTCAAAGAGAATTAAGAAAAGAGTAAATTTCTCACTGTGTGATTCAGACTTATTCAAAGCCATAGTCACGAACCACCTAAATTCTCCCATGCCACCAGCAGTCCCATGTTCTACCTTCTGGGAAAAACTACCCTCAGACATCCCTGGACCTGAGGGGTCACCTCAAATCAGTCTTAAGGCATATTTATTAAATACCTGTTGTGAACCAAACAGAAGACTAGGTGCTTTCACATGCATGATCTCATGTAGTCCTCACTAAAACCTCGAGAGATAAATATTATTCCCATGTTACAGATAAGGTAACTGAGGCCTAGAGCTGTTAAACAAACATACAAAATCATATACAAGATCATGGTAAAATGGAGCTGTCAGGGCTTCCCTGGTGGCACAGTGGTTAAGAATCCGCCTGCCATTGCAGGGGACATGGGTTTGAGCTGTGATCCAGGAAGATCCCACACGCCGTGGAGCAACTAAGCCCGTGCGCCACAACTACTGAGCCTGCGCTCTAGAGCCCGCGAGCCACAACTACTGAGCCCACGTGCCACAACTACTGAAGCCCACGCGCCTGGAGCCCGTGCTCCGCAGCAAGAGAAGCCACCGTAATGAGAAGCCCGCGCACCGCAGCGAAGAGTAGCCCCTGCTCACCGCAACTAGAGAAAGCCCGCGCGCAGCAACAAAGACCCAACCCAGCCAAAAACAAACAAATAAATAAATAAATAAAAATGGTTAAAAAAAAAATGGAGCTGTCAGAATCTGACCCAGGCAAAGGGGTCAGATTGAACTTGGTAAAGGGGACTTATTTTGAAGTAGCCCCTCCCCCACCCCAGGGTCACGGGGAAGCCTGCCGCCCCTCCAGCAGAGGTCCCCAGCAGGTAGTTGCTCTGGACGAGGAGCTGGCCATCAGTGCTTACTAGCTGGGTGGTCTCCCTCAACTCTCTCCCTTCTCTGGGCCTCAGCTTCACCATGTCTGAGGGAGTAATCGTGGGACCTACCTCGAGGGAGGTCGTGAGGGTGAATGAATCATGTCCGTAAGCGCTTAGCCCAGAGTGAACACCCAATAAAAGATGGCTGTGAGGGTCCCACCCAGACTCCTCTCCCTGTTCTTGCACAACTGCAGAAGCTGCCCTCTCTCTCTCATGCCCTCGCCTGGCTCTCCCTGTCTGGCCCAAGTGCCAGGTCCTTGCTCACCCTCATTCCAAGGCCTTTCCCAAGTCCGCTCAGGCCAATAGGCTCCCCTCTACTAGTTGCCAGACAAGTGTACCCGGCCTCGACCCCTCCTCTGGAACCTCTTAGTCTAGGGGGAGAATGGACATGAAACAGGTAAGTATATAATTACAGCTTGTCACAGCACTGTGAAGACCGGTATCAGCATGCCATGAGAGAGTAACAGAGGCGTCCCTAGGTTCAGGTTGGGTGAGGTTCGGGGAGGTGGGGCACACAGAGGCATAGAGGCAGGGAGGATGCTCTTAGCAGAGGAAGCAGCCCACCAGGCCTCAAGGCAGGACTGAGCCATGCCGCTTTCACCTTTAAGTTCTGGCTCAGCTCTTCTCTTCCAGAAGCCTCCCAGGATTGACCCCCAGCACATACTGATTATCCTATATCTCTTTGGCACTTCCAGGACCCCCAACCAAGCAAGAAAATGGGCATACAATAAAATCAATGAAAGCTTTTACTTTCTGAAAGCAGAATTCCCTTCTCAGAAGGGATTCCTCCAGTCCAGGTGAAAAGATGTCCGGCACAGAGTAGACCCTCAGGAAATGTGTGGTAGGAATGAACACTTCTGTTTTTTGGAATGCATGAAACAAAGGTCTGCGATTTACTAGGAAATACATCAAAAATGTATCGGTACGTGGCTAGATGGCTAGGTGTGTGATGAGTGGAAGTGCGATAAAGCAAGTGTAGTCACGTGCTAGTGGTGGAATCTAAGTGGCGGGTATGCAGGTATCCACTATAAAATTCTTTCATCTTTGCAGTAAAATATTGCCAGGGGAGAGAAGCAACATATGTGATTAAAATGGTGGCATTCTGGGGACTTCCCTGGCGGTCCAGTGGTTAGGACTCAGCGCTTCCACTGCAGGGGGCACGGGTTCAATCCCTGGTCAGGGAACTAAGACCCCGCAAGCCACACAGCGCAGCCAAAAAGGAAAAAAAAAAAAAAGTAAAAAATAAATTAAAAAACAAAAATAAAACTTAAAAAAAAATGGTGGTATTCTACAGATAAGGAAAAAACAAGGAGAATATAAAGTGCCAGGAGCATCACCTTTACTGTGCACGTCAGGCCCCTCCCCTCCCTGGTGTGTCATTTAGTCCTTATTGATGCATCGCTTTGTGTTTGTTTTCATGTTCTGTTTATATACCTCATCTCCCCACGAAGCCTGTAAATTCCCCAAAGGGCAAGAACGCTGTCTCTTATTTCTGGTCCCACGGTTGATGGAATTTTGGAGCTGGAAGCCATGTTTGCAGTCCTCTCCTGCAGACACCGACCCCCCTTTATATGGGAGGAAATGGTGGCCCCTGGAGGGGCAGGATGCGGCCTACAGGCACACGGTTCTGACTGGAATGTAGGTGTCTCAGCGCTCAGGCCCGTGCTTGGCAAGTGTTCTAGAGACGTTATAGGCGACTGTGCAAGGTCAGGTTCTGGCAATAGACAGGCCTGCTGCTTTCTCCTGGGTTGCCCCCGGCAAGTGCCCTGGCCCCTCTGAGCCTTAGTTTCCTCATCCATACAATGGGGATCATAAGGGAACTTCTGCCTTTGGGTTGTGGGAGGCTTAAATGGTTACAGAGTATGAACAGCCCTTCACACAGTACCTGGAAGCTACGAAGTGCTCAGTATGTAGTAGTTGCTATCATTACTTTTCTATGTCACTATTCCTGTCCTTGTAAAGAGGCCTCCTGTCATCAGAGTGGCTTCCCCCCTGAGCCTTCGGCCCTCGTCCCCAAGAGAGGATCTCCCACATGTACCTCTTTCCTCTCTCCTATTCACTGAGTCTCCTCCTTACTGATACTAAACAGGAGAGAGACCTCTTCGTTTTCAGAATATCCTCGGTAGCTCTTAGGCTGTTTCTCCCTCCACTTATTGTGTGTCCTTAGTCATGTTTCTTAACTTGCGTGAGCCTCCATGTGATTTTCTATAACATGGGGCAATAGCAGTACCTCTTACCTAACTGGATGGTTGGGAGGATTCAGTGAGGTCATGCAGGTAAAGCGCAGGGAGCCTCGCATGCCTTGATTGCGCAATACACGCAAGTTACTATTGATATCCCTTTGGTGCCACACTCCTGAATGAGGATGCTACCCCCTCGGGCTCCACCAAGGTTCCTGCCACTTTTTCCCTGGTGCTTCTGCCCCCGCTACTGGCCTGGAGGGGCTTTCCCTGCACGAATTTCCTCCCAGTGCTGAGCATGAATTTTGCACTAGTGAAGCATGGCTCGTCCCTGTAATGGCCCTCTTCCATCGGATCAGCCTGAAATCTCCAGCTCAACCCATCCTGTACATCGGACCCCCCAGCTTCTCCGGTGAAGAAGCAAGAGGAGAAAAGACAAGCCTCCCCTCCACGAATCCCTCCTGAGGGAGCACAGTGAACCATGATGAGAGTACGGTGTGTTGTATTTATCCACAAATCTCAGTACAGCCCCCTAAGGGACTCCAGAAATCTATCCTCCTACTTCCCCCCGGCTCCTTCAGGCCACTTCAGCTGATATGACAACAGGAATGTCAGTCTGTTCAACAAGGCCAGTTCATCAGTTTAGGGAATGATGTTGGTGAGGCTCTGGAAGAGAGAAGGAGAGAGGGGGTGGATGCAGGGCACACAGTCGCAAGAGCTCTACCCTCATGCACCCTAGACAGATGGGAGGGAGACTGACTACTCTAGCTCCAGAATTGCTTACGTTCTGGGGAAGAACATATGGAAGGCGGCACCTAGATTCAGGAAGAATAGGGAGATAGTCCTCCCAGGCAGAGGTGCCAGGGGCCTCTGTAGGGACAGAGAAGCCTTGTGTGTTTTGCCTGAGAGGATCCCCTGCCACCTCCACAGCCCGGGAACAAACAAGGGTGTGCCTTTGGGTTCCTGGCACAGTCTTAGGGCTGTTACACACCCTCACCCTTTTGCCCCAGGCTCAGGCATCTGAATGTACTAAATGCAAAGAGAAGAGCTAGGACTTTCCTTTGGGCCCAGAGGGAGGACCAGCATCCCACAGGAACCCTTCTCCTGGGCCGGCGGGGCAGGTAGGTTGCTGTCAACCAGGGAGAGGACAGAGCTACAGGTTCCTGCCACCCAGCATGTTGCCACAAGGCAGCAGGGACAGAGCAGCGGAGGGATGCACAGAACAGGGACGGAGTCTGACGGGAGATGCCGCGGAGAGGGGACAGGCACACAGAGGGGAGGGTTTCAGCAGCCCCTCCCTTCCTGGCTCTGAGATGTACACAGGCCCCTGGAGGACTTTTGTGCCTCAGTGGGAACGGAAAGCGCCCGAAAGATGAAAGCAGGATGTGAAGGGCAAAGAGCAGTGAGGAAAGGAAAACCAGAGCTGGAAAATGGGTTGGATGGTGTCTGCAGAGGCTGAGTGTCTGTCCACAGTGCAATTGTCAGTGAACAGGCAACGGGAAGAGGATGTAAGAGCATGTCCCAAGTAGGAAGTAGAAACCACATGGGCACTCACCTTCCACAGAACTGAAAGGTCAATGAAGGGCTTGTTGACCGAAGCCTGAAATTCAAGGACAAGAAGGTTAGTCCCCAGCATCTGTCGCACCAGCCCTCCTAGGAGAGCCTCCACGCCACCGCCACCCACCCACCCTGTGCTCGCGAGACTTACTCCAGATGTTAAGGTTGTGATTGCAGCCCCTCCGTTCGGGTGAGTGAATCTGCCTTGAGGATTGCCCTGTGGATGAAGCCCAGGCTGTCATTACACCCCCCACCCCAGACCCTAAGGGTCTCCCAAGTTCCTTTTCCCCAGTGGCCAGCTTCCCCTAGGGCGACCGGGGCTGGGGCAGAAGGCATAGGCTAACCCCCTGCCCCTCACTATCCACAAAGGAAACCCATGTTGCTGTGGGAATTCTGTGAGAGATGGGAGGAGAAGCCAGGAAGAACGTCTGCCCCTACTGGTTAGTCTTCCCTCAATTCCCTTTTCTTTCAGTTAATGAGATGTTCTCAGTCACTGAGAAGGGGCCCAACTGGAAAGGGAACCCAGAGAAGCCACGCAAATACCAGGACCATAGTATAACCCCAGCCCTGACTTCAAAGCTCCCCCTTCTACACACACGCTAACCTGATCCCTAACTCGGGGATCCCTGTCCTTAATCCTCTCCCCACTCAGCAGTGTCTCCCCTGCTGTGCTGCTGCTGCCAGCCTCAAATCCCCAAACAAACAGCCCTCTCTTGGTCTCTATTTGGTGAATCCTGGCATCTAACTCAGAGCCCCTCCTTCACCCTGCACACTTTCTACATAGTTTCTTCCTCCCCACCCCACGCATCTCTGGTTCCGTGGCTGGTAGCCCCTGTAGCTATGGGCTTTGAGGCCTGGGCCGGTCCTCAAGATGGTGTCCCAAAGAGTCCTCGTGGAGACTGGGGAGTGGGGACCTGGGGCAGGTGGGAGTCAGCCTTCTCCTGTTCCTCCTGGGAGCCTGTTATGCTGTGCGTGCTTCTGCTTGCCTCTCCTGGGCTCCAGTATCTATTCCCCCTATGTAAGTGGGGATCAGATATCCTCCAGAAGGCCTCCTCTGGTGGGGTGGTGTGGAGGAAGAGAAGGAACTCCGACTTGTGATTCTCCAGAGCTGTGTGCTAGCCACATGACCTTGGCAAATCCCTTAAACCTCGCTGAGCCTCCGTTTCCTTACCTGAGAATCAGGGAGTCCTCACCCCGACTACCTCAGAAGCTTGTTATGAACATTAAACAGAATAGGGCTTTTCTCCCAAAACTATTCCTCAAGCTCAAGCTGATGCTCTGGGTTTTCTCAACACTCATTCTCTTCGCACCGTAATAGATCTTGGCCTTAGTAACTGCTTCCTGTTCCCCAGGAGAGGCTTCATGTTCCTCCCTTTAGATCTCCTTAACTAGGAGGCAGCCCCCTGAAGGTGGGGCTGGGTCCCATTCCCATTCTCTGATACAGGGCTTTGCAGATAAGATGGCTTAATCCTTCTGACCAGCTGACCACCAGCTCCTTTGTAAGGGAGAAGGAGGACACGGTTACAGAGCTGCCCAAGCTTCTTTCACCAAATGATAGGGACCTGGGCGCCCCAAATGTCCCAAGGGTTTAACCTCTCCTTCCCCCAACACCCTTCTCCCCATTTCCCCACCCCTGTTCACCTACATTCAGCAGCTGGTTGGCTTCCTTGCCGGCTTGGTTGGTCCCATCATGAACAGTCTGATGCAACCCGTCCTCCTCCTTCCCGGCCTCGCCAGCAGCGTGGTGGACACCTTGGCCAAGTTTCTCCACTTCCTTTCCAGCCTGACCAGCAGCGTGGCTGACCCCGTGGCCAAATTTCTCTGCCTCCTTTCCAGCCTGATTAACTCCATGATGCCCCCCTTGGACTATTTTTTCTCCCTCTTTCCCGGCCTGCCCTGCAGCGTGGCTGACCTCCTGACCAAACTTTCCCACCTCCTTTCCAGCCTGATTAACTCCATGATGGACCCCCTGGACTATTTTTTCTCCCTCTTTCCCGGCATGGTGGACCCCCTGGCCAAACCTACTTGCCTCACTTCCTGCCTGGTTGACCCCATCGTGGACCCCCTGAATCACTTTGTTTGCCTCCTTCTCAACCTGTCTAGTAGCACTGTTGACCCCATGGACAAACTTCTCTGCTCCCTTTCCTGCTTGTCCGGCGACATTGTTGATTCCATGGGTTACCTTGTCCAAGTTGTGGTTGAGCCCCTGGACGCCCTTGTCCAGCTCCTTACCGGCCTGGCTCCCCACACTGTTGAGCCCACTAAAATCTTTCTCCCTTCCAGCTTGAGGGATTCCATTATTGATGCCTTCCAGGGCCTTGCCCACCTCTCTCTCTGTATTGCTCAGCCCTTTGCTGATCCCTTCAGTGACCTTCTTAACGGGGTCAGCACCGGCCGCCCATCCAGGCAAAGGCCCCAACAGCAGCAAGAGGAAGCAGGAGCTGAGCAAACTGGCAAGATGCATATTGTTGGGGAAGTGGGGAGGATGCAGAGAGGGGCCAGGGAGGCAAAGCTACTATTTATCCTCTGCTTCCTTTCCTCTGCTCCACCCCTCATGACTCAATTACCCTGTGAGGCACTGGCTTGATCTCCAGTCAGTGAGGTAATTCCCAGGGAGATTTGGGGTTGAGCAATGAAGAGGAGGAGGAAGAGTGGGTGAGTCATGAATGGAGAAGACTCACATGGCATCTTTGCTCCTTGCCCAGCTCAGGCCCTCCACCCCAGAGCCCAGATGTCTGCCCTTCCAATCACTTCCCCTTTCTATTCCTCACCCACTATCCAGGCCTCCTTTCTCCCAACTGCACCTTCAGGCACCCTCCATCCCTGGGACCCAGGCCTGGTTCTTCAGCATCTTCACTCCTCTCGGGGGACCTAAGGATCCAGTTTCCCCAGCAGCAAGATTTTGGAAAGGTGGGAGGCACAGTCAGGGGGTGGGGAGCAACCCCGGGGAGTTGAGGGAATCATCAGACCTTGTTCTTGTTGTTTGTTGTTCTTGTTGACCCCCAACGCCCACACCTCTTATGCTCCGGCCCCACGGGTCTTCTCCCTGGTCCTCAAACACACCAAGCTCATTCCTGCCTCATGGCCTTTGCACTTGCTGTGGTCTCTGCCTGGAATGCAGAAGTCAGATCTTCACAAGGTGGTTTCTTCCTCACTGTCTTCTTGGCTCAAATGTCACCTTCCCAAAAAGACCCTTCCCTGGCCGTCCCACAGCTACACTCTGTAATATCATCCTTTAGTTTTTATAGCTCCTACCACAATCTGAAATTATCTTATTTTATTGTCTGTCTCACCTATCAGATAGTAAACTTCCAGAGGGCTGTTGTCTGTATTGATCATTGTCACGTCCCCAGCTTCAAGAACATTGCCTGGGGTTCAGTAAACATTTGAACAAATGGATGGATTAGAAGATGCCAGGGGAAGAAAGTCCAGGCCTGAGCCTGAGTCTCAGAGGGTGCTGGAGGGAAGGTTGCCTGTATCCCCAGAGCAGCACAAGGTCCCTTGTTGAGGGTTGCAGATTTTGGAGCCAGGATCACATTCTTGTCCTACCTCCCAGCCCTTGGGCAAGGGCAGGGGGCTGACTGCCATGAGCAGGGGCAGGACGCAGTGTCTCCTGAAAAGCCAGTTGAGGCAGTCGTGGGGAGGGGCTGAAGACCCAGGGCAGCAAAAGACTGTCAGCCAGAAGCTGGGCTGAGGGCCAGGAGCTCATCCCTCCTGCCCTCCTCCCCCTGAGGCCTCCTAAGTCCCAACTGAAGCCTCAAGTGTTGACATATTGGCAAGGGTTGGAGAGGGAAACAGCTGAGAGTGTGGCCTAGGTGTGGAGAGGGACATCAGAGGGAAGGGCAGGGGGTGGTTGGTAGGTCTGTCGTTGGTAGGTCTGTAGAGCTAGTTCAGAGGGAGCCTGAGACCAGAAGGATAGGGGCCAGTGGGTGGGTACAGTTGGGTGCAGGGGTAAAAGATATTTGGGTTTGGGTGCCAAGAGGAGAGCCTGGGAGAGGGGGTGGTGGTGGGCTCGCTGGTGGAAAGGCCAGGCACAAAGGAATGTGTAGGGTGTGAGCAAGTGGGGTCAGCAGAGTTATATGCGTGGGTGCCCAGGTGTGACGAGAAGCTGCACATGCTTTCAGACTTTGCTCAAACAAGGGTGACAAGGCCCACTCCCCTTGGAGGACCCAAGGTTCCATCCTACATCCTGGACACTTGGCTCCACCCAGAACCACCTCCCAGACCCAGAGACCCAGAAGCTTCTGCCATCTCTAGGTTCTGTCTACAGAGGGTGACTAACTGTGCCACCTCTCCAAGCTTGAGCTCACCAAATCTGTTTCCCAGTTTCACGGTCCAGGGACAAAGTCAAATCTCTGGGCAACCTTAGGTGTGACTTTCCTGCCCTTGTCCAGCACCTGAATGAGGGAGTTTCCCATGCCAGGAGATTGCTGGGTAGGGAAGGGTGAGCTTCAGAATTCTAATCCGCCCCGAGATTCAGAGGTGGGATTTCTCCTTCGAAATGTACTCCATGTCTCTTTTCCACCTCTCTCTCTGCCCAACCCTACCATCTTCTGTCAGCCTCCGTCCCTCTCCTCAGTGCTCCATTGCCATTTGCCACTATTTGATTCAGGACTTTGGCATCTATCTCCGTACATGAGATTAGCCTGGAGTTGTCCTTTCTCTGCTGGTTTTAGTAACGTGGCTGTGCTGTTTCCTAGAGTGAACAGAGGAGGTTTCAGTAGCTGAGCTACCACAGCACCCACAAAGCATGCAATATGCGATGTGCTCATACACGGTGCGCTTGCCGCTCCACAGGGCCTCAGAGCACGTGCCCTACCCACAGCCTCTCAGCACAGGAGCTGCTACTTGGCTTCCCAGCTCTGCTTCGGCTCTGCAGCAGGTCCTGTAGAATGGCAAATATTTGTTCCCCATGCTTCAGCAAATCTTGCCCATAAAATCATCGGGATCTGAATCAGCCTTTGGGAAGATACATCTTAACTCCTTGGTTCTTCTCTTGTTATTGGCATACTCAGATTTGCCATTTCTTTTTGTACCAGTTTTGATCCCTCATATTTTCTAAGAAAATTTTAATTGCATCTAGCTTTTCATATCTATTCTTGTAAAGCCGTACCAAATTGGTCCCTTTTCAGTCCTGGTTTTATTTGTGTACGCTTTCCCCCCATCTTGATTATACATGTTAAATTTGTCCCCCTTTGTTCTGTTTTTTTGGTCTTGGTTCATTGAAATCTCCCCAGCTTTACACTCAATTCATTTTCAGTTCCACCTTTCCCGGGCCATCCAAGCAGGAGGCTTCACCCTTACTCTGTGCCATGGCAGGTGCTTAGCAAACTCAGTTCTCATGGAGGTCTGGGGAAAGAAGAGGTTATGTCATTCTGCCCCTTCTTGCTTCCACACCTCTCTCTGGAATGATGACTCCTTCCTGGCCTAAACCCCACAGCCCCTAAATCTTGGTCACAGCTGTGTGCCAACTGGCCCACAGCAGGTGAAGGTGCCTGCCTGTGTGTCACAGATATGCAAGCAAGCCCCCACCTCCCATGCTTTGGGGGACAGGAGCCATCTGTCTATTTGTTCTTCCGCTAATGTTTACTGAAAGCCTGCTTTGTGTCAGGCACAGTTCTAGGAGCTGGAGGACCAGTGGTGAACAAAACAGAAAAGAGTGGGCCCAACAGGGAGACAATGAACAAGTAAGTCAGTAACTTGATCATGGAAAACTACATGAAAAACCATAAGGAAAAGAACAGAGTGCTGTGAGAGGATAGGACTCGGGGGGTGCTCTAAGACTGGAGACCAGAAGAAACCTCAGGAGGTGACATTTATTCATTCATTCTGGTACTAGTTATTGAGGGAGTACCTTTCAAGTGCCAAACATTCTTCTAGTCAACAGGTATAAAAGTGAGGAAGGCATGGGCTTCCCTGGTGGTGCAGTGGTTAAGAATCTGCCTGACAATGCAGGGTACATGGGTTCAAGCCCTGGTCCAGGAAGATCCCACGTGCCACGGAGCAACTAAGCCCATGCACCACAACTACTGAAGCCCGCGTGCTTAGAGCCTGTGCTCTGCAACAAGCCACCAGAATGAGTAGCCCCCGCTCGGTGCAACTAGAGAAAGCCCATGCGCAGCAACAAAGACCCAATGCAGCCAAAAATAAATAAAATGAATAAATTTAAACAATTAATTAAAAAACAAAAACTGATTTTCTAAAAAAAAAAAATAGTGAGGAAGGCAGACAAGCACTCTCTAGTGGGCAGAGACAATTGGCAAGCTAACGAATAAACAGGATGAGTTTTAGAGAGACATGTGCTGCGTGGAAAATAAAGAGTGTAACCCTAGAGCAGTTATGCACATTGCAATATTTAACCCAGGATGGGAAGTCAGACAAGGCTTCCCGGACAACGGGCAGATGGAGGGAGTGGGGGTGATGGTGATAGTGACTGAGAAAGGAGAGAACTTTAGATGCGGAGTTAGGAGGGCCTCTCAAAGGGCGGCACCTGAGGGAAACCAAGAGGCAGCCAAGGGAAGGCCTGGGTAGGGCTTCCAGGCACAAAGAAATAGCTAGGGTAATTCCAGAAGAGGGTCCAGACCGGCATGGAGCCGGTGTGCCCAAGGAGAAGAAAGAAGAAAGAAGACAGCAGAGAAAGGGCTTTGAAGACCAGTGTAAAATGTTGGATTCCATTCTAGACGCCAGGGGTGGGCTTGGAACGGTGGTACACGGCCACAGGCCTCGACTGGGAGGGGGCCTTCGCGCCGCCTCCTCTTGTGACGTCACTGGACTGTGACGTCACGGAAAGACGCTCCAGCTCCTCCAGCTCCTCCAGCCCCCGAGCCCCCGTCTCGCAGTAACATCGCGGCGGGTGCCGGGGCAGCTGGCTGGGCCATGAAACCTTAGGAGGCCATGTCGAAACGCGACGTCACCCTCACCAATGTCACCGTTGTCCAGCTCCTGCGACAGCCTTGCCCAGGTGAGGGAGGCGGCGGAGTGACCCCGGGGAGGGGAGGAAAGGGCGGTCGGGGAGCTCCTGTAGCCGGGTCTGAGTACCTGACGGCGAGCGGCGCACCAATAGTGTCCACCGGGAGCCGGGCAGGAGGTGCGGGGTGGCCTTGCCTGCCGGGGCTCTTCCATCCGGAGCCGCTGCCCCTGCTCCCTCCAGCCCCACCCTCCTCACTACCGGGCTTGCCGGCAAAGTGGTTTCTACGGCGGTGGTGGAGGGGACGAAGACTCCCGCCCCCAGGTTGGGTTTTGCACCAATAGCGCGGTGGAAGGGTAGAAACAGGGGCCAGGAGGGAGGCCGGAGCCGGGTTTACGAGGGGACACCTCTGAGGACAGCCGCTGGTTGTTGAAGTACCTGGGCGAGCGAGGTTTCACATAAAATTGACGCTGCTGCGAAAGAGCCGCTTGGGGATCGGTGGACTTGGTCCTCCCTGGATCGCACAAAGCGAGGACACTTGAGCCCGCCAGATGCCGAGCACTTTACAGGTGTGCGCGCTCAGTGAAGCCTCACAACCACCTTTGAGTTCAGTGTTTAGTGTCCCCATTTTACAGAGCGGCCACCAGATGCAAGAGGACACAAAGCACGTTTCTGGGTCTCAGCACGGGAATAGTGGAGTTGGGACTCGGAGTCCCTGCTCGCCCTACCTCCCCCGGCCAGAGGTGCGCGCACACGCTCCAGCCAGACGAATCCAGGCCTTCCGGAGGGCCACCCCATTCGCTCCCGGCCTCCTGCCTGGCCTCAGGCGAGGCAGTCGGCGGCCTCAGCACCGCAGGGGTGGGCGTGGCCGACGTGGGGCGGGGTTTGGGCGGGGCTCCAGGGTCCTGGAGACCCTGCTAGACGCAGCAGCAGGCAGGTTAACAGCTGTGGGCCTTGAAAACCCTGCCTGCTTATCACTCGCTCAGTGATCTCGGGCCTCGGTTTCCCCACTGTAAAGTGGGTATATAGCACATACCTCACAGGATTCAGTGAGCTGATGCATGTGAAGAGCTCAGCACCGCACCTAGCCCTTGGTGGCGCCCGGGAAATGGGAGCGACGTTGTAATTGGTAGAGAGCACACCCGATCCAGTGTTTCACCTACGGGGTGATGCTTCATCACTGAAGCTCCTCCGGGCTCTTCCTTCCCAGCACAGCAGCTCTCCTCCAGCCCATGTACCCCACCCTGGAGCAAAGGGAGAAGGGAAGGCTGGGGGAAGTTGTGAGAGAAGGGCCA